GGCCACCCCGAGTGCACGGGCACGCGGGGGCCACGGTGTCCACACCTCGGCCTCGGAATTAGCGGAGGGCGCTGTCCCCCGGCCCAGGCCCAGCGAGTCAGAAGCAAGAGCAGCTGGTTTTCAGTGGCGACATGGGGGTGAGGGCACTTTTTGCCTCCACTCACTCTCCGTGAATGTTCACAAGGTTTTTAGGCCAACACCAAACAGCCCAGAATGGGTGCAAATTCTGAGCTTGGTCTGGGAGGCGTGGCTCAGGGGCTGAGCATCAACCTACGAACCAGGAGGTCACGGTTCAATTCCTAGTCAGGGCACATGCCCGGTTGTGCGCTCGATCCCCAGTGTGGGGTGGGCAGGAGGCAGCCGATCCCTGATTCTCTCATCATTGGTGTCTCTCTCTCTCTCCCTCTCTGAAATCAATAAAAATATATTAAGAAGAAAAAACAAGTTCTGAGTATGTGCATCTATCCTGTCTAAAATGCAAAGGGCAGAGAAAGGCCATCGGTAAAGGCTGTCACAGGGCGGGACGTGCTTCCTTCCCCACAGCACGTGGGGCCCGCCCTCCGTCCACGCACCACCGTGAGCCTGACAGCCAGCCGGGTGGCGTGTGGCGGTGGTGAAGCTGGGCTGGGACGCAGCACCAGCCACCGAGGAGCACTGACCACGGGCATCCTCTGCCCCACGCCCCTCCTGTTGCAGAGCTGGCCCGACTGCCCGATGCCACTCCCGGCACAAGCCCACGAGGCCGACGCACTTACTAGATCCCCGAGGTGTAGACGGGCTGCATGGCCTGGTACAGCTTCAGAAAGGGCCGGCACACTGCAGGGGAGGAGAGGAGGGGGGAGAGGGAGAGAGAGAGAGGGAGAGAGAGAGAGAGAGGTCAATCTTCCGTGAGCGCGAGGAACCACGCAGGACTGCGGGGAGGGAGCCGGCGCCCACTAGCTGCCTTTGGCTTGGACTCAGCGCCGCAGTCAGACGGCAGCGTGAGGGGCCCGGGGTCGCCTGGGCTGTCTGTCCTTCCTGATAAGTGAGTGGCCCCACCTCGCACAGGGGGCTCTGTCCAGTCCTGACCGGGGGCCTGGGCCTCAGGACGGAGGGGTGCCCGCGCAGTGCAGGGACGGGGACCTCGAGCCCGCGCGGGGACACTCACCCCCGCCCGTGTCGAAGTTGGGGGTGCCGTGCAGGATGACGCAATGCAGGAAGAGGGGCGAGGCGTTCATCTTCACTGTCCCCGACAGCAGCCCGTGGGTCCGGTGGTGCCTGCACGTCCCGCATGTGCCCGTGCCCGTCAGGGGACGGTTCTACAGGACGAGTCTGCCCGGCCGGCGTGGCCCAGTGGTTGGGCATCAACCTGTGAACCAGGAGGTCACGGTTCCCTTCCCGGTCAGGGCACTCAGGTAGGCAGCCAATCCATGATCCTCTCTCATCATTGATGTTCCTGTCTCTTTCCCTCTCCCTTCCTCTCTCTCTAAAGTCAATAAAAACGTATTTAAAAATAATAATAAAATAAAAATAATGAATGGGATGTTTCCTCGCTGGGCCCTGGGGCTCGGGGTGCAGGAGGGACCGGAGCGGGGCCCAGACTGCCATGCCCGATGCTGCCCGACCACGGCCCCTCCCTCCTCCCGGGGGGCCTGACTCCAAGCACCAGGAAACCCCCCAATATCCGACCATGGCATGGGTGTCCCCCGCCCAGGACGGCCGCCCTCCGACCAAACCACCAGCAGGCTCAGCCTCACTTATATTTTTTTAAAAATCTCTAAGTTACGCCTGCAATTCACACACTGTGTGCCATTAGTTCAAAATAGGCGGCTGGGTTTGTGCATGAAGCAAGCTGAGCCGGTTAAACACAAAGTTAGGCGACCCGGCTGCCGGCCCTGCTTTGAGGAAGGTGTGAGGGGACAGGGGATCTGCCAGTCCCTTTCCCGAGGCTCCCACCGTCCTGGCGGCGAACAGCTCCTCTGTCCTCCGGCATAAACAGGGGCTCCCCAGGGTCACCTGGGGTGGGAGCCCTGGAACCAGAGGGCTGGCTGCCAACAGGCCTGGCCACCAGGGGGCTCCACACACCTCCCCTTTCATCCAGGGGCTGCCTGTCGGAGCCACCAGGTCAGCAGGAGGGCGGCCCTGCCTCCCCATGGAGGGCTCCCTCCCGAACCAGCGAGCCCTCCCTCCTGCTCCTGGCCACCCAGGGCCTTCTGCGCGTCCGCATGTTGCACCCGTCGGCCCTCATGGCCGTCCCCTCTGGCGGGACACGTACCGCTTCTGGGAGGGCTGCATCAGCGCGGAGACCTTGTCGTCGTAATACTTCTTCATGGCAAACCTGTCGAGGGCCTGGTCGGCGCTGGGGAGGAGAGACGGTGTGTCACCCCCACGCACGGACACGACAGAGGCCGGTGACAGACACGTCCTGGGCTGCGCTGGGCCCGGCGCCCACCAGGTCCCCATTTTTTGGGGCACCATGCGAGCCACCTTCGCCTCTCTTCTCGGACCCGAGTCCCCACAGACACGCCGAGGCCACAGTGGACCCAGGCGCAGGCCCAAACCCCGTAGGAAGCAGCAGCCCCGCCCAGGGCTGTGGCCCCAGCTGACAC